CCCCCCCCCCCCCATCCATCTGCTACCTCTGTCTGGTTCTCACGTCTGCTCTGTTTGAAATGATGACAATCAGGTCCCATTCATTCGTGTATTTGATGCAAAAAATGTGCAGCATTATTATTCACACTTGATCAGCTGGTTTCTAAACAGCCTTACAGATTATATRGAAGTGTTTTTGTCCTTATTCTTCAGTCTGAAATCATAAATAGCTGCAGAAGATTAGCCCCTCTGTTTTGGTGGGAGGAATGTGGGTGCAGAGTCCTAAAAAAAGAGATCTATTAATAGAGTTGGTTCATTATGCCTCTTTTTAAACAAGCACCAGCTTGCATTAGGAAATCAATCAAAAACATTCAAATGCAAATGTAAGAGAAGCTGACCCTTTGATGCTGGTGTTAAAGTGTCCCTTTGTGGGTCCAGCTGTTTGGGTGAGAATGAAACACCTGTTTCACTGTTTTATTCTAAAGTCTTTTTCTTTGCTAAGATTAATTTCTAAACCTCCAAAAATCTCTGCGAAATGTTTGGATGTCTTTTCTGCCACACTGCGCCGCGCGCGTGCGTGAAATTCTGACCAACATTTCTAAAAATAGCTCGGGTTGACGTCACTCAGCCAAACGTGTATCAGTCGCCCGGCAGCGGGTAAGAGGAGGGTGGATTTTTTTTTTTAATTTTTTTATTATTATTATTTATTTTTTAGAACAGCAGTAATGTCAGTCACTTGTGACGGCCAATAAATGTCGCCGCATTCACTGAGATTCCCACGGTCTGTTCGCATCCAACCAATCAGAGAGGCGGACTGAAGAAAGTGGGCGGAGTCGTTCCGCTCATTCGGTTTGTTTAGGGCGGTGGTGTTGTTGTGATAGATGGCACAGCTGACCAATCAGAACGAGCCGTGGCTATCCACCGTAATGAAGTGGCCAATCAGAAAGAGAAGCCAGCTGTCAATCAGCCGTGGTTTCTATGTGAGTGGGCGGGGCGTTGACTCCGCTGTAGTTCCGTCATCTCGCTCGTCTCCGAGGCTACGGGGGGGCCGATGTTGATTTGGGTGCAAACCCGTCGCTGTCGGACCCCGCCGAGGTTAAATCTGTTTTTACGAGTCGGGCTCGTTGACGGAAAGTGAGTCGCTTTTGTTTGAGGAAACTGCACCTCGCCTCCGGTCGTGTTGGTTTCTCGGGCTGCAGAGAGAGGTGGGGAGCCGGGGAGGGGGGCTCGCTCGTTCGGCGGGGGCTGCAAGCGGGGAAAGGAGGGTCAGGCGGAGACCAGCTCCTCCGCGTTCAGGCCAGCTGCACCGAGCTCGGCCTGGCGGTCCGTCCGAACCTGGTCTGTTGGATTTAAAGCCGTGCGGCGGTGGTCGGCGGAGGGAGCGAGCCCGCCTCATCTAACCCCGCATTTGCAGCTGCCGGGAGACGAGCGGGAGAGCTCGGGAGGTGAACGCTCCGCACCGCCGGATTCAGGAAACACCGTTCCACGGCCAGATCTAATCGAGATTAAACCGGCTTGAGGAGGCTGCAGGGCGGCCAAAAGCCACGGATTGCCCGTTGACAGGCTGTCATCATGGGCAACGCGCCCACGGCAAGGAAAGGCAGCGAGATGGAAAGCGGTGGGTACCTGATCTGATCCGCACCTGCTGTTAAATCCTCTCCATATGACCGAGTCAACGTGACACAGCAGGCGGCGTTAGCTGCACAGAACCCGCCGTGCAGCGGCCTTTCCTTCACGCTGTAATTCATCACGATCCTCTGTGTTACGCAGTGATGTTTTCAAATATCAGTGGCWCTGAACCAGGCTCAGTAACGACCTGTAAGCTCATTAAACAGAGGATGCAAAGTGGAGTGAAGCAAGCTGCAGTCAAATCATTGTATGAGTTATAAAAAAGAGCAAATAAGTGGCAGCAATCTTGGCATCTTCACTTCCTGTTGTAGACCACTCAGGTCCTGGCAGGACTACAAGCTCTCTGTCAGATATTTCCTGAACACTCTGTGCCTGTTGCTCTTTGGAGACAGATACTGTTGACACTTGTTATTTTGTCTGATTGAGCCATGAGGTCAGATTGTGTCTGCTGAGAGTAAAACTGATGATGAACTGAAGGATGGGAGTGTTTTGATGTTAATACAAGGCCGTAACTTKAGGTCTACCATCAGAGGGGGTATGCTCTAAAACACTGCATGTCATTTTCAGCGATTATGCTTAAATATGACATCGTAAATTTTAAAATCAGGTCAAAGTTTCCTAAAGACAACACAAGAGTTGCATGTGTCTACTTAATCAGTTAATTTATATTGTGTTTGAGCAAATTATGTCATTTTATAGAGGGGGTATATTGACTGGATCAAATTATTGTGGGGCTCACAACCCCCCTAAACCCCCCCTGCAAATTACACCTATGTGTTAATAGTGAAGGTGGACATWTATTTAGACTTGTTTTTGACTTGGTGTCCAAAGCTCAAAACCATAGAAGTATGCATATAATTATGCAAATGCTTTTTTGTGATCAGGTCATACTGAATATTGTACAGCTTGTACACATGCTGACAGTGTAGCAAAACTGTTGCTTTTATTTATGATTTATCATGCCTATATTTACCAGATCTAACTAGATAAATTAGCATTTTTACGGAAAGTGCATTTTGAAATTATGAATGCTGAATGGGTTTGCTTAAAATCGATGAAAATAAAACTGATTTGTTAAAGGGATCCACGATTAGTTGTCACATTAAACTTTATTTGATAAACGTTTATTTTAACTGTAAAAT